TTGTTGTTGTTGTTGTTGTTGTTGTTGTTGTTGTTGTTGTTGTTGTTTGCTTTTGCTTTTGTTGTTGCTGTTGCTGTTGCTGTTGGTGTTGTTGTCGTCGTGGTCGTTGTCATTGTCGTTATGGTTGTTGTTGTTGTCGTCGTTGTGGTTGTGGTTGTGGTTGTGGTTGTGGTTGTGGTTGTTGTTGTTGTTGTGGTGGTGGTGTTGTTGTGTTGTTGTTTTGGGAGTCTGAGTATCAAATCCTCAAAAAGTTGACTAGTCACAACAGAGTAGAGTTGCTCTTCGAGGCAAAAGGGCGAAAGCAGGACAACTACAGCTGATGAAAAGCCAAAAACAGTATATACAAGAGTTCCTGTGACCCTGAACATTTAAGGAAGGAAACAATGTATATATAAAAACAGTTAGTGGAAGACTTGCCACTCAAAAAAGAAAATACTCAAGCGCAAGCCCTGCCAAAGTGATGGAAGAGCTTGGCTTCCCAGTCCTTTGGCAATCATTAGGCCGCACAGGCCAAAGGCTGCTGTTGATAGAAGACAAGCCGTCCAGAAAATCAGCAAGTTCCCCTTTGTATCCTTTGAAAAGGGCTACGCCTGCTGGAAGAAATGGCCTCAACAGCGGTCGTCCCCCAAACAAACCCCATTGCTCCGTGCCTGGACCTGTCCTCTCAACGGGTTTTACCTCTCGACCGCCTTTGGAGTTTCCACAAGGCTCGGAGACCGCTCGGAGACCCGGCGCGCTCCGCCAAGGGCACGAAGGGCAAGAGCACCTCCGCTGGTGCGATCGGGTGAATTTGGGGCCTCCGGAATGTCCAGCACTCCTGGTGATTAGATAGCGAGAAGGTGGTGGTTGAAATCTATAGAATGGATGTGGGCCCTCACGTGGGTTTTGAACCTCGATGCTGTTTCACCACATCACCAGCAAACAGTCTCGAAATGAGCCCTTTGGCGCGACAAGGCAAAAGCTTGCGTCTGCAGGGATGCAAGCATCTCCTTGCCTGAAGCAGTATGACTGCTGCAACCATGGCTAGATATGAACACCGGCGGGCTATAGACAAGTGTTCTGGGGCTGGTAGTCACACCCATGTTGGTGTTCGTTCATTTGTTCCATTGTTGGTGTGCAAGTCTGCAAATCTTTGAGAAAAGAATACACAAGATTACACATCAAACACAAGATTACACAGCAAAAATAATACATATATATATAATGCGCAGCTGCCTTGATACCCCCAGAGTCAGTATAATAGTAGATCACTTCCAACATCCATGTCTTGTACAAAACAAAAACGCGCCGAAGAGACCTGAAACACTGGGAGTCACAGGCACGGAAAATGGACCAAGCACGGACTCCAGTTGATCCGCAAACCGGTTTGGACAAAGGAACAGCTACAAAAGCCCCGTGTCACCTACCAACAAGCCAGTAATTCACAAGAGATCAAACTCAGTCCCAAGGCAAGCATTTCAGATATCCACGACGCGTTACAACCTACAGAACTTCTGTAAACCCCGACCGCGGTTTCTTTCGTCGGCTCACCCACCCGTCGACGACCGGTGCCGACGCAGCGACGCAGCGACTCGGTTCGTTCGGATTCCCCCGGGGCGACGAAGCTCTTTTGCGGATTGTTGGGGAAGGGGAAGCTAGATGTTTCAGGCTAGAAGACCCTAAACATGCTAGAGTTCTATAGAGGTGGGATATCTGAAATGCTTGCCTTGGGACTGAGTTTGATCTCCTGTGAATTAAGGGCTTGTTGGGAGGCCATCGCTACTAGTAACAAGAAGCTACTAGTAATAGAGGGCATCGCTACGAGCGGAGCAAGGACGCTACTAGTAGCTCCTGGTATTACTACGAGTAGCAAGAAGCTACTAGTAACAAGGGTTGTCAAATTAGACAAACCAAGTGTTCAAAGTGTGACTAACTTGATAGATCGATGCCCAGCCTGGTTGTGAGGGCTTGCAGAACAAACACTATTGAGCCACAAACAGAGGCGCAGAGGCAGGTTTTCTCACCGTGTAACCATCATCTGACCTACAAAGACTTCTGAGTCCAAGCGACCTGCCTCTGAGTCCTCTGTCTCCCCTTCACTGTGCGAATCGACCATCGAGACCGCACTTTTTCTCATGCGATGTCGTCTTCTTTCGACACGAACGAGCTTGTTCCTTCATTTCACTTGTCGGCTGCCGCTTGTATTTCATGCAAGTATTGCCACTGTCAAGGAGGCCAAAGACATCTTGACGGTCTTGGAACTTGAAGTCATCAAATGTCCATTATAAACATGTGTACACATTCAATGACAAATGTCTGCTCAAAATAAATGTGTGTTGCAAAAGGGTATCATACACACGGCAACGAAACCGAGTCTTCCAAAAGGTGTGTTTTTCGCATAGTACATCTGTGGTGTCTGGTCTTTTAATCCAGATTGCAGCAGGTCCCTCAATTTCTGACGGTGTGCTCAGACGCAGCCCGCAACCACCAGCAGCTTTGAAAGCTGGCCCACCCGAAGCGCTGGCCCGCACGATCTCACTATGCTCCAACCTCAAATAGGCCAGTTCCGTTCATCCGGTCTAGGATAGAACCAGCTATCACGGACAGTGCACGTCCAAACAAAAAAACGCGCGTCGGTTGGCCGTGGTCGTAGGTTGGAGGCCTTCCAAATGGGGCCAAGAACCTGGACTCCGAGCCTTTTGGAGGTCCAACAGGGATCTCCAGTCAGTCAGCGCCTGGGATTCCCAAAGACATCAGCACTCATAGCTGATGGGTCTATTGAAGTCCCAAAAAGAATCATGCTGGGGGGGAAGCAGTCAACATTGTAGTCAATCACGAATTTGGGACTTAGAAAAAATATCGAGCGTGCTGGCAGGGTTATCTTGATCATCAAGGGAAACATGTTCCCCATTTTGAACATCAATCTTGACAACAATCTCTCATATTCATCATATTCCCCGAAGGGAAAAAAAAGCAGGTGACAGGTGATACTCTGGTGGGAGAAATCTCTACCTTGTTCAAAAGTGTACTCCCTCAGTTTGTTGGGAAAGCAAGGCTAACCGGCCAACCTTCTTCCACCTGCTGGTTTTGATTGGGGACAGGAGCCTCCTCCAAACGGGGTTTTGCAGGTGATCAATTTTTTCACTCCTGGGTAGTCATCCTCGACTCCTGAGTGGGTGGAAGCAGCACCGATCCTTGCGCTACCAAGTCGCGGCTGGCGCAGCACCAGCACCCACAGCAAACCTGCGCGGGGGGTTGACCATTGGCGTTGCAGTCACTGTGGGGTTCTGACATGCTTCACCTTGGCCCAAAGCTATCAATATTTGCTGTAATTGGGGAACTGTTTTTTTGAACTGCAGGAGCAAGAGTTTCTGGACGTAAAACGACATTGCTTAAAGGCTGATGTAGCAATTAACTTCGTATTGTTCGCCCACAGGGACGGCTACTTCGTAGCCAAAGCCCTACTGAGATACCTCACCTTCCCTAAAGCTCTTCTGGTACCCATGAATGCCAGTGTAAATCGATATCCAGGGTCCCTTCTTCATCTGAACCAAAATCCGTTCCGTGTCCTGACCATCACATCACCAGAAGGCATCATTGCCAACATTTGATGAACCAAATGTCTCAAAGAAAGGGCTGAGCTGGCACACATTACACCTGTGGCACTTACTTACGTGGCTTCTCTACTCTTCAAGCTTCCCCTGGTGCGCAACTGGTTGATCTCTAGTTGGAGAAACCTCTTTCAAGGGTCCTTCACCTTTCTTCAAGGTGATGAGAGAGAGATGGCCACCTCACCTGCACACGAAGCGGCCACCTCACCTTCCTCCCCCCGGTGACTTCGGGCCGCTCCGCTTTCTGCCCCCCGCATCGACGGCAGCTGCACCGGCCGGACACCTGGTCGGTGACGACCACGACCCACGGCGTGAGTGATCGCGCCAGAGAAAGGCTCATATTGGGCACTCATTGGGCTTTCCAACAACCGTTATCTTTCCAGGAATCTGCTATTTCAGATCAAGGATGAAGCAACCTAGTATATTGGCTGAGTGATTTTTGATGGTGGTCAATGGGAGCCTCGAAATGTTGGGTGTTCTGAAGCACAAGAACGAATCAAATCTGGGCTGGCGACATCCAAAAAGGAACTGCAAGTTCTAAGATGCGAGCAGGCTCGTATACTTTAATCTCCTCCCCCAAACAGCTCAAACGACGAATGTTGGAAGGTTGGTGAACTTGCTCATCTGCAAACGAGCTGTGGCCAGGAACGGCCCTGGCGATTCCTCGGGGGTGAACCGATTAGATGCGACCTGGGACTGCTGACCTGGAGTGAACAGATTCGAGCACCCAAATTGACCACTTGACTGGGGTTGCGAATGATTTCATGACGGCAAAGATGTCGGACTGCAGAAGGAGCAGCGTGAGTGCTGCAGTAGACTTTTGGTGCAACCGTACATTCAAGGACCATGTTGCGCTTCTCTCTCCCATTATAAAGGAGAAACTACAGATCTTTCCAACTGAATCCTTTGATGCTTCTTCCTAGATCTCACCCTCTTTCTGTGAATGGCCGTCTATGCCCATGCGCAGCCCAGGCTGGCCTTGCTGTGTCCCAAGTTACGAACGCCAAGTTGCGGACCCTGGACCCACCGAAGACCCCCGAAGACTCTCTCGCCATGAAGAAAACCACGCCTGAAGAGTCGCTCCGCGTTGCGCGCGGTGACCTCTGCGAGCTGCACTTCCGGCACCTGCGGCGATGGCCCGAAGCGGAACCCCGAGGGAGTCCCCCGAACCACGGTCGAAGCGGTTTGGGTGCCCAACCGGGAGGGTTCTTGCGAAGTTCTGAAGTTCTGGTAGAGCAAAGGCAAAGACAGGGTGTAGTGCCACGCCACACCGCGGAATGTTTGCTTGCTTCTTACCTTTGAGCTTCATGCTACTAGAGTAGCATGAAGCACGGGACTCTGTGCGAGCTAGAAGAATTGCGAGAACCCGACCAGGAGATTGCCGACCACGAGTAGCACGGAGGCTGCGCTCCACCCGGAAACCCGGAAGCCGAAGGCAATGACAGACTCCGGACTCACCACGCCGCGTAGCGCGGCCAACCGCGGCTCCAGGAGGCGGCCAACCGCGCAGTGGCGCCTTTGCTTCACCGAAAGCACACGACACAAGTTGCAGAATTCATGGCCCTATCATGGCCTACCCGAAGGCCTTTAGCGGAGGCTGTATGGGATGTCCTGTTGCAGCTCTTTCCTCCACAAGCTCTTCGGTTGGTTGAATGAGGTCGGGGAAATCTCAAGCCGGGTTGACGCTGAGCCGCATAAGGCACGACTACAGGCCCAGTAAGCCTGGTATTTGCATTGGCGCTTTTGGCTATGGCCGTGCCCGTCGACAGGGAGTTCCCCTACAGCCAAGAAAGCAAGGAAAAGAGAGGTTGTGTGTGTGTTCCTGTCTTAATGGTCTTTGGGGCTAATGAGGTGACACCTGACCTACAACATCTTGGTCCTCGGCTACACTGCTAGACAAAGGCATTAATTTGGTGATTGGAGGAGCATGTCGTGCCAGGCATTCATGGAGTTGATCCCTTGCGGCCCCCTGTGGTTCATAATTCCTCAGGATCCCACAGTCACAGCCATCAAATATAGTGGCAGCATGTGGCAGCAACAAGAGCAAGAATAGTAGCAACGCCACGGTTGTCTTTATGGTGACTACTGTGAACACGGCTCCACCAATGAGAATCTCTCAATAATTACAATAATTGCGGATTGTTTTGGGAACAGGTTCCTGAGCTACTCTTCTTGCAGAATTCTTTCCAAGACATGCCTGAACGCTGGGACCTTATCTTCCGAGCCATGACTGTGGATTCTTTGACCTTTTTGAAAAGGCCTGCATGTTTGGTGGCCAAGAGGAGTTTGACTAGACCGGAGGTGCTCTTATCCATCTTGGGCTGGAACCCATTTCTGAGCACGATCGCGTTGCGTCGAACATCGTGCTTCTGCTGAAAAGACACAGTAGATATCCCCGAGTGCCAAAAAATATCCCAGAGATTGTGCAAGAACAACGACATGGTGGTAAGAGACAATGTGTAGGGGAAGCACTGTGCCAGTGCTTTGCTGGTGTTTTGAGCACAGTGTGCGGAACGCACAGGTCTTTACAATCACATGTTTTTCCTGTGTCAACTGCAGAAAGGTATTCCTCTTTGAGTCGTGGCTTGGCTGGATAGGGGTCTTTGCTCAATCGCGTTTCTGAGCTTCATATTCTTAGTGTTTTGATTTGAGTGCTCAGCCAGAGAGAGATTTGCTCTTGCCAATGCTCGGAAGGGGATCCGAACTGTGATTCGCTCGTTTCACACGCGGATGGCTTGGAGTCTTAGTCCCACCAGCTCACCCTTGGGTCGAAGGAACAATCAACAGTAGACCGTCACAACCGCCATGGCCCTTACTCATCCTTACCTTCAATCAATATAGTTTCCTGCGACCTCATCAGGCTTTGATCTGTCCACGTCCTTCAAATCCCACCTGTGGCTTTCCAGGGCACCTCCCTCGATTCGAAGCCGCTTCGCCGGCTTAGCAGCTTCGCGCGGCGTCGCACGGCGTCCTTCAGTGCGAGTCCCAAGTCCTGCCTGTCTATGCATGGCTGCAGCCTCCAGGACCAAGGGCAACCAACAAGGCTCCTAGGAGAGATGAGTGGTGCCAGAAGGGACGAAAAGAAAGAATGCGATAGGTTGGAGGCCATCGCTGGTAGTTTGGAAGCCATCGCTAGGAGACACTAATTCATGGACTTTGCTTGCCGCTTCCTCGGTTGCCGCACAGGAGACAAAGGACGAGATATGAAACGAAGTATCGTGCCCGACGCTGTCCAGAGCGACCAGGATGAAAGATCGGAAAGGGTCGTGCTGGCCGCACTGGCAAATGGGATGACGATTGATGATGTTCATATAATATATATATATATATATATGTCATGTGTATATATATATAAATAATATATAGAGAGAGAGAGAGATTTGTTGCAGCCTTGATCAAACTGGATCAAGACATCTTCCATAGTACTGCTAGCTGCTGGCAATACATGCACCCCCATGTAGCATTCGAGACCCCTCCCTTCCAACATGTCACCCATAGTTGGGTTTTCTACATCAAATGTTCTCAGAACACTAAAAACTATCCTTCGAGATAAAACCTTTCCAACTCCATAACCCTGCACGATATGGGCCCCAGGCATTCAATGCTTGGCCTTTGTCATCGGCAAGAACCTCCTGCATGCGGAGAATAATGCAGAATGATGGAGAATGGTTGATGGGGAATCGGGCACTGGAATCGGGAGACGGTCCTCACCAGCAAACACCTACGTCTGTTGACTAACATCTGCCCGTGGCTCAAGAAGCAAGACCCACACAGACCAGTTTTGGAGTGTGTTACATTCTGGTTGAGCCAGTGAAAGACCGGACATCAAGCCACCGACAGGAGACTGACAGCGAAAGACACCAACCATGTCGAGTCTAGCCCGGATTCTTTCGGGCTGTGGGGATCGGACTGGTTCGTTGGAGAACAGGTGAACACGATCTGTTTCTTGTTGAAGAACCAGGACTGATGGCAACCCGAACACACGAACCGTCACGGTTGACCTCAGCCAGGGCCCTAGCACTTCCCAGGCCCTTAGGCCAGGTCCCAGCAGCCGGGTCACACCCTTGAAGATTCACTTGGAAACTCAGCACCACTGGGTAGCAGAGGAAAATCGTCTTCCAAAGGTCAATTTGTTTAGGGTTCATGTGGGCCTCTTCCCAGGTGTACTTCCCACATTCCAAAAAAGAAAGATGGGCCGAACCTCTCCATTGGGAGCAACGCCTCCTGCACGCAAAGACGGGTCGCTGGACTGGGCTTTCCCGCGGCCCATGGAGCGAAAAAATGAGTGTACCAATGGCCCTGAAGATGCATCGACCTTCCTTGATCCAACTATTTAGGTTCCGAAAATTCAAATAACAATGATTGGTGTTGAACCTCATTCCCACTCACCCAAAATGGGAGGTTCTGAGGTTGAAGCATAGTTCGATGATGTTCGAATCATATTCCAGTCCCAGACAGGTTTTGTCGCTTCCAACCTGGGTGGCCGGGTGCCGGCGGTGAAACCGATCCCACCACGCAGGATACGCAGGAAACCATGGGAAAGACCCCCCAGTGACCGATGGTCGATGAAGGAGGTACATTGTCCACCAAACATGCTGATGTTTGTACGTTTGTCACAAGCTGTTGAGGCACTTTTTGTTCAAAACATGTATTTGTCCTTTTTGAGAGGTGCTTTCGACAATGTAACTTCAGTGCAAGTTCTTTTTTTTGAGCTTTGGACTCCTTCCTGGAGTGGGTAGACTATGCTAGAGTGACATTTCGCGTAGACATATCCTGGGTGTTGATACCTCAAAGAAGTTGAATTTGGATTGGAACCATCTACCTCGACGTACACGAATGATCTTATCCCCAGGCGCCTTCGATCATCTGTTAATTTTCTCTACCCCTTGGTCTGTTTATTCCGTTCCGGCCCAGTTCCAGCCTGAATTGAGGGGCAACAAGATGGTTTGCGATTCCCCACTCCGAAGGATTATCCCACTCCGAAGGATTGTCAACACAGCTTCGTCAATTGGATTTGTCGTCCATGACTGTCGACCCAACATCTGGGTAAAACCCATTTTGCAGGTCACATCAGGGGCCCACCCTGCTTTACCCAGGGAGGGCAACCGGGTTTAGCCCACAGTCCTTTCACTTTCCCAACCTTCCCTTTTGATCTTCAGTATTCGTCAAATAGGATGTTCAACTCTTGAGGCTCCACCGAACCATTCCGCGCAGCGAAACTCTGAACATATCTACGGCCAACCGCCTCGGAGGGACCGTGGCAACTGGTCTGGGCTGTCCGTCTCCAAGAGGAGTCGCTCCTGACGGAGCTGGCCTCTCCACAGGCGCCCGCTCTCCCACGGTGAGAAGCACCGTGATGATCGTGGTTTCAAAGCGACACTCAAACGAAAGTGGATGTGAAAGGGTGTTTGATGTGACTGGCGTTCCTGGAAACATCTCAGAAAGAGGTCTGTTCAGAGTTTTCAAGAAAAAGATCTTAAAGTCTTAAAGGTCAAGCGCGTTTTCTGGGTTTCTTCATGTTCATGAGAAGTTTGGAGGGTCTTTGGCTCAAGACGTGCTCAACCCAGCTGTTGGGAGGTTGCAGAACCCCAATTTGCAGGGCTCAAAACCTGGAGCAGTCGTCCACCAGACCGTGCCAATGCCACTACACTACTGGCAAAGTAGATGGCAATGAACAAATATCCAAAGCATGTTCAAAGGGAATTGCAGGTGTCCGGATAGTGATCAGGGATCCCCGTTCTCCTCAAAATGCAAGATTCCCTCGCTTCTTTTGCTTCACACTGAACATCTGGGCCCGGCCTGCACGAGGCGGGCCACTCCCAAACCAAGAAACCCCACCAATCAATAAGTATAATTAAGATAAATCATGCTACACATCATCTAATTATCTATACATGGGTTTGTACTTTAATAGGGGAGCCTCCAAACCAATGGATGTACTTTAGTTCTTTCTATTCCCCAAGCTCTGAAAGGGGGGGGGTCAGCCCTTAAATAGAATACACACCCACATCTCAAGTGTACCATGTAGCGTCGGTCGCTACCTGTCCTCCGGCACGGCTTTGAGCGCGGCAGCATGCTTGGGGATGTGAAGGATGGACCTCCAACGCCGGTTTCGAGCGACGTGTGGCAACCGTCTCACCCGCTTGGCCCGCTGGGAGGATCGGCCGCTTACAGGCCCTTGGAAGGATCGAAGGACGGTCAACTTCGCCGGCGTGGCTCAGCTGGTTTTGTAGGTTACATGTTTTGGACAAAATGTAAGTTACCACTAGTAGCGTCCTTGCTCCTAGTAGCGTCCTTGCTCCTAGTAGTAAGGCCAGGAGCCCCTAGTAGCGATACCCTTTGCTCGAAAAAATGCTTGGAAGGAGGGCGGGCTGGATTTGGGTCATCTCTCATCTCATCTCGTGTAGCTTGATCTGAAAGGGTGACGACGGGATGCATCACAGGTGGTCGGCAAAGTAAAACACCAATTTCAATAAAGGGCCTCTGTGACGTGGCGCCCCTCCCACCACTGTCCCAGCGTCTCACTGTCCCAGCGGCGCAGAGAAAGAGAAGAAGCAGTTCAACTTTGCAAAGGCTTTGACCTGGGAACGGCTGGCGGCTTCTTTGCGGCACCCCGCTGGTCTTGCCACGGGCTGGGCCCTCTCGCCAAATCTCACCAAAAGCGGGGGGGTCGGAGGATCCACACCGTTCGGCCCTTTGGTTCAGTGATCAGACATGATCTTAGTCGGGAGCTAAACCCGGCCATTCGGGTATGTCCCACGCCGCGTGTTTCGTCCCCAAACCGACCTGGCAGGGGCGGGGTTGATCCGATGTTTCCGACATCTTTCCACATGTTCCACCCAAAGCCGGGTGTTCGGCGCGCAGAGACCGAAGGCTTCGAGCCTTCGCCGACCCGGAATGCCGATGCCGGTGACCGGTCACCACCTGATATGCTTGGTATAGTCCCTACAGGTCTTGTGGGTCAAACAACCCGTAACCCTGATTGACCGCTGAAAATGAACAGATTCCTCATGATTCCTCTATGGGGGGTTGTCAACCCACCAGGATGTGGGGCTCCAGGTTTTGACCCACAGCCAGGACTTGTCCGGACTGGACTCGTCCTGTGGACTCTTTGGACAGTAAAGGATTCAGTTCAAGAAATTCCTCGAGTTAAGAACCAGTCCCCGTCACTGGTTCTTCCAGTCACTGCGTCCTGCTGAATGAAAAAAAGGTCCGCTGGAGCTGTAGACATCAACTGACCTCGTGGATCGGTATGCGAAGACCTCGTGGATCGGTATGTGTTGACCGAAAACCATCTCTCACAATAAAGGATCTATATACAGCACTTCAAGCGAGGGGTGGACACAGATGGGTGGACATGAAATGACCGGTGGATGTTCATTCCCGGTTTGGCTCCTCACTTCAAATATATAACTTGGGAGATCTGTTCACTTTCTGGTCTGCACCTGGACCGGTCTCCCCCACGAACTGAGCAGGGTGGCCATGTCCACGCTGCCGCAATAGGAGTGGAGCCTCACTCTGCCGACAGAGAACCAAGAGTCCAATGGTTGTGGGTCAAAACAATGTCAAAACATGTCCCAAAGTAACTCCCCCGAATCCTCAGTTGTTGGGCTCCTTTCTATTCTCCGTAGTTATTATGTTCCTACTCTTACCACACCGATGTGAGCAGGAAGTGACCAACTCTTGCACGCTTACGTCACTCCCCCAGTGCTCCTAGGTGGACCGCGTCTCGTCACCGCGAGGACGCGGCATCCAAGGGGAACAACGAAGGCCGAAGCACGGCACGCCGTGCAGAGTTGGGTAACATACGTGCTGGATGGGATTCCTGTTCTTGAGAGAAGCCCTATGGCCCCTATGGCCCTATGGGATCGCGGCAGCCCGCCACCTGTGCAACAAGGGGCGAATCAGATGCGTTTGCCAGTGGTTCCATAGAGTCGGCAGAAACGAAACGAAACGACATGGGGCTCGGACACACCGGGACGCTCGACCCTCGACCCGAACTGAATCCTTGGGCCCTTGGGTAGCCTCCTTCACACCAGTGTGTATACGGGACAACACCACTTTGGGGCAGTGAATCCCAGCCACCAGTCTACCATTTTAGGGGAATGGGACTGGTTATAGGTATCTGCTACAGAAATCAGAGTAGTAGATGGTTGATGTCTTAATGTCTTAGACAGATGGGTGTCCATATGCACCATCTACATTGGGGCTTGTGCCATCTACTCTCAATCCACTATACCCCATGAAAATCACCCCAAGTCCAGCCCAATAGTCCGGGCGATGCTCGAATCGACGGACCTTCGATGGTCGATGGTCGTGTGGTGCCACCCAGTGTGGCATTGCCCACAGTCGGAGCCCTCCGCTGGCAGTTACCGACCCCCAAAAAACACCACAATTCCGTGCCGTACAGCTCTGCCTTTTTTTCCGTGAAGGAGCCGTACCTTCTCGAACTGTGCCGTGGTTGGATCTGACGCACTGCCTTCCCCTGGAGTTGGGCTAAGCCAAAATGGAACGAAGACGCGACGCCGCGGGGCCGCTGGGCGTTCGGATGATCCAGAGTTCCCGAGATTCAGATGGATGAGGCCACGGACACACCGAGGCCAGTTCTTGTTTGATACCTATACTGGTGGGCCACTTAAGTGCCCAAACTTGCATCAACCATAAACTCCATGGCACGAACCAAGAGCGTGCGGTTAACGGCGGAATGCTTGTGAAGGGGAGAGGGTCCGTTGTTCGTTTGTCGTCCTATTTGCATGCCTTTCAACTTGCCTGTCTAAAGCGAAAACATGCGAAAACCACATATAGAAGGACCATAGGCTATGATGACGGTAGCGTGGTTCATCTCAGACTGTCCATCTTCAGAAGCCTCTTCCTCCCAGGGACAGTGTCGTCACCATCTCCTTGCGCGAATCAAGGCCAAGACAGTGAATTCACCTGGAGATCTTTTAACCTTTGAAGGCCTGTCGACAGGTTCAGTCTGAGTCCTACCTGGTCCTGGTCCTGGTCTCATCGAGTAGTGCTTTTGAAGGAAACCAACATCATGAGGTCCAACTGACCCGCAAGGGTTTCCCTGAAAAGAGGAAGGTTTGCGACCCGCAGGTTTGCTCAGGCTCGCCTGACCTGAGCCGGTTTTCCGACCTAACCTGAACCCTACAAGGAGCAATACAGTACATGTGTAAGTCTAACTTTTATAGAGTATTACAGTATCCCTAGCGATCCAAGTACCTTCTCAAAAGGTACTTGGACCCTCCAAACCTACACAACACCTGCTGAGAAGGTACTTGGATCCCTGGGGTATATTGTCTTGGGCGGTAATAGACTACACCCGTGAATTCGACCCAAAGTAGCCCTCTCTTGTCAGGTTCAACCATTACAAGCATTCACACATGAGACATATGGGGCAGGTTATCTTTTCAAATCTGTTCCATTGTAATGTTTGAAGCAGCAGTGTCGAAAGTCTCTGAGCTTAAAGCAAAACATAAGAGACTGCAATGCTCGGGGGACCATAGACAAGGATGCTGGCCCATTGCTTGGGAGCCTCCTACTTTAACCAAAGAGCAGAATTAAGCTCGTCCTGCATCAAGCTTCAAGGGCCAGTTATTTCATCACCACATCAACCACTAAGACCTTGGTACTCCACTTCTCTGCTGCCTTACCTTCATTCACGCTTGAAGCACCCCTCCAGGCGGCACGCCGCGCGGTTGCGGAAGCGGCCGCCGGAGATGACACGGATCTAAATCCAGTGCTTGCTGGGCTGAGTGGCACCTAACATGCCTTCACTATGGGTCTCGCAGAGATGAACATATACCATACAAGTTCAAAGGCCCAGTAAAGGCTGGTCTTTGACCTTAAGTAGTGTTTTTATATGGCCACGTCCAGTAAAATGATGTTATTGGGCACGGATAAGATTGCCGATTGTGCCAACCCCAGGCATCGATGATCACCCATGACCAAGGGCGATTTGGGGGGTACCATGTGTCCAACGGTCATGCTCATGCTCCAAAAGGTTGCTTCAAATCAGGTCCATTCCCAAAACCCCGTTGACCGGTATGTGGATCCACCGAGGTCCAATTCATGGGCTCAACAAGCCAATCAGGCCATCTTCTAGATGTCGGTGATGAGTGGTGGGTGTTATTCGTCGATTGGTGTTATCGGTACACAGAAAGACGCAGCAAAACAACTTTGCCAAAGCCATCGAAGTTGGTGGGTTCGATGATGTTCGATGTCTTTCATGCCTGGGTAAAGTCACATCTTCGCGTTCATATCTACGCCCCATTCTGGAAGTTCTGAACGCCCTGAGAAGATCAGAAAACCCAAGAAACTGTTCCAACATCTAACGCGTTCAGCGTTTGAAAAGCCCTGGCTGGCGACCTGTTTTTGTTGCTAAAGCAGGTACCCATAAACACGCTGTCTGACGCCATCAGTTTCTTTATGGCAGAGAACCAACTAATCAAAGATACGGTATTGTATAGTTTCACCTTTCCATGTTTGGTAGGCCATACAAGTGCCACGTCACGCCTTGTGAAGCGCCGGACGCCGGAAATCATATGCCAAACAGTTCTTCGTTAAAAAATCTGAGCGCAGCATGAAAACCCGCCATTGATGATCCAAGACGCAGCTTCGTGATACGTATTCTGTTCGTGATGGACCCCAGATTGAAGATGTTTTACAATCCAATGAGGGTTTACTACATAATCAAGTCTACAAACGAAATCAAGCAAAACACAGCTCTTCAGAACAGCAGTGAAGATGCTTCAAAGCTCTGCAAACGCTGAAAACCACCTCTGGTGACCTGGGACGCTCGGTTCCATCGCTTTGGGAGCCACGGCTGGGTCGCATGACCTGGCTGGTGTGGGTGGGGTTCAGCAGGTAAGGCCTGGCAGCGCCTGGCAGCAGCTGCTGAGTCATGTAGTAAGGCCAGGAGCCCCTAGTAGCTTCTTGCTCCTAGTAGTAAGGCGAGGAGCCCTAGTAGTTTCTTGCTCCTAGTGGTAAGGCCAGGAGCCCCTACCTAGTAGCTTCTTGATTCCTAGTAGTAAGGCCTGGATGTTGTTCCCGTTCACCAGTCAGTGGGGTGAGGCTTTGCGTGCCAAACTACTATGGACGGATGGACACTGCTACACCTTGTTCGTCGGCAGACTAGGATTCTGATGAGGGAGCAATCCGCTGTGGATGGGATGTGGATGGGATAGTGTCCTGCGGCTGTTGTCTATGCTTTGGCTTAAAGTCCGTAGTTTAGCATTCCCAGTATATACTTGAATAGTACATGAGGTCGCCCGTTCATCTGCCAGTATCTTGAGGAAAACGACAAATGCAGCAGCCAGCAGCATGTCCCTTCTATAGATTGCTTACGATTTCCAGAACCTGCTTATTGAGAACGAAAAACACAGGCTGTCCGATGCAAATTTCAGGATCACGGAAAAGCATGGACGCAGCACTTCTCTGAAAAGCAGCCCAAGCAGTGGTGTTGGGGAAAAACAAACAGCACGGCAAAACGGTTCAGGGGACGTCTCCGTCTACGGTCAGCCACTTCGGAAACGGTGCGTATGGAACAGCACGGTCGTTCGTTCAACGGTCGGTGCGGGTCGTCCTGGTGTGGTTGCGGCGCGACTAAGCAGAGCTAGAAGGCCTCTCTCTCTCCCAACGTCCTCATGGGTGTGTGGATGGCATGGCCCCGTAAGGAAGACCATGAAATCCGAAGACCAAACAGGGGGTGAACTCTAATTACCATGTTACAAGTACTTCAAGGGAGTGTAATTGAACATCTCGCTGCCACGTTCACTGGACCACGGCGGAATGGACCGTGCGCTGTTAGAGCTGCGCGCTCTGAGTGAATGTCGTGCACCTCGCGCGGCAGGGACTGACGTATCACGCTCAAAGGAGTCCCATGGATGTGGCTCGCACTTAAACACCTTTGGGCTTCTCTCAAAATGGTTGAACTCTGAATGGTTCAATCAGTCATGCTGTCTACGTGTCAATCTTGAATCTTGCTGAAAAACTCCAGTCAACAGTCTATCATCCTGCTGGAGGAATGTACATTGACAGATGTGGTTCAACTGCAGAAAGCCCGTGTGCGAGACCAGACAAACATTACCGCATGTATCGAAAATGCTCGTCTGTGCAAACAGCAAAGCAGTTTTTCAGGACAACTCTTCTGCCCTCTGTCTGATCTAGAAGAAAGAGGAGAACAGAATTCAAAATGATCCCCTGCACTCACCTGCACTCTTTGTTGACCCGACCCACCGTGGTCATTTCAGCACTTTTGCCCTTTGTGTTTGCTCAGACGGCCATCTCCTGGGCCAAAAAAATAGCAACTCTGTATGTTGGGCTGGCCATCCATCTTTGAAATACATTGTTTCTTGCTGGCTCAAGCTTACGTCCTTCTTCTCTTTTTGCCTATTACTATTACCATTACATACCATTACTATTACCGTTGGTTGTTGTAAAAGAACCATCTCCAGCATGGTGGTGATCAATGGTGATCATGGATCGTGAGGCTTGGTTTTTTCTTGTTCCAAAGAGCTCGAAACTCATTTTTTGGGAGACCAACAGATTCCTCAGTCAATGTGACCGCTCGATGGACTCTCAACAGATGCCGGCCTCACGGGCGCATGCGCGTGTTTGACCGAGTCTTGTCTGCCCCACGTCAAACATCCTGGATAGTCGGCATCCTCATCCCCACTAGACCATGCATTTGGGTGTTTGGGTCGTAGCTTAGGTTGTTTCCGTTGATTCCTCAGTTTCTGGTGCCTATGATAATAAGCCGTCCTGCCACCCTTTGTAGAGGGGACCTTTCTTCTGACTCTTCCTGACGGTGTAGGCTGTCGACAGCAGGTGGCACTGTGTTTTCATTGCAGCTGCGACTCTGAAAAACATATAAACAATTAAGGTAGTTCAAGTGGTGCCCTTCCTCCACCCAGCATGGATGTGGAAAGAACAACCTTTCAACGCAAAACAAAGTCTTTCAGAGCTTCGTGCCATACCATGTTGGTGTGTGTTAGATAGAAGGTGAGTTGAAGACTGTAGTGACACCATCCCCAGAATGGTTGCTACTTACCTGGACTGTCCGTGAGAGAGCTTCAATGTCATTGTTCTGCGGGTAGCCAACCCCGGTGGCTAAACCTCTTTGCAGGATGAAACGCCAAGCAGGCTGTGGTCAAGGTGTCCACCAAACGCACTGAACCAATGCA